ACATGATTAGAAAAGATATAGATCAAATGTTATGAATACATGTTTGAAAGCAAGAGTTACTCATAGCCTTCAAATACTTGTTTTGTAATTAGAAAAATGGGATCTACAACTATTAGAGTTCATGGCCAAACAATACACCACAAAATAAATCTTTACAGTAAACATAAGAAATAAGAATACATATAATAAAAATAGGCATTTTCACTGGTCTTATATGTATGAGGAACTAGCTTTTAAATCTATGCACCAAGCCATAAATATTAAACAAATATCAAGGTATTTCATCTGTTGTGTCCCAACCAAGCCCTTTTTCATTTGTAAATTTTAAGAAACATTATATAATAGGACTTCTTTGCTTTTTAAGAAGTGTATATGTATTGTTATAAAAGAAAGTTTTACAAAAAAGTTGTCCTGATTTCCAGGAACTTTTCAGGCTTTTTTTCTTTCTTTTTAGTTTCCCTGCATTTTTTGGGGAACATATGAATCTTGATTATGGTTCTAGGTGAATTCACTTCTGGTAATTTGAATCCATGTAATTTCACTTCATTAGTTTGACTCCTGGTATTTTTATACCTCATGTAAAAAAAAAACTACACTGACAATGACATTTATTAAAAATTATTAACATTAAAAGTAGCATTTATTAAAGATTATTAAAAGTGATGCAAGTTATGAGCTATTTCTTGTAAAAAGTCAATCTTGTTATCAGAATTATATCTAGCAAGAAGAAATTGCAGCTGTTTATTCACATCTTTATTGTTCTTTTTGCTGTTGTCACCCCCAGTCAAAGTGAACTTTCTTCAACTGTGCTAAATAATCTTCTTTCTTCAAAGTTGAAAGTTACTTCCAAATGTTTGGATGCATGTATGCCACTGAGCTTTAAAGTGCATTACGGTATCCTTCCAAATTGTTGTCGGTATGAGGCATATCTTAGTCTGTTCTGTTATGGACATTTCAAGTGTCAATAGAAAATTATAGGGTAATTCTTCATCTTCGATTAGCGCGACCTCTTTTGTATCTAATGTAGAACTTTTCAAAGTAAGACACTAGTTCTTGAGAGAGATCATTATCATCAGCAAGCTCCTCAAAACCATGAATTACATAAACAATTGGAAGAAATGCAAGAGACGAAAAGCATCTTACTTTCAAGCTAAACTCATTAGCTTGATGATATTTTTCTTTCAAACCAATCTCAACTACTTTTCGATAAATATTCTGAAAAAGGTGAAACAGAAGTAGTTGAAAAAATTGATAAGAAGTCATTGAGAATTTTCAAAATCTATCATGAAATATTCAGGGTTCAATCCTGAATGTATTTCTAATAACTTTGTGAAAAGTCAAGAGTACTTCTCTTATGTCTTGTTTGGATGAAGTCCAAGTAATTTTGGAATACTGGATGACCTTACCCAAACATAAAGAGTGTACAACTGATAAAATATATTTGGGCAGCAAGTATTCTATTTACATCAATCTCACCACTATCAAAATGCACGAAAAATTCGCCAGTATCTAGGAATCTGTATTTATCAGGAATTTCATAGCCAGTCCTATTTTGAGAAAGTGGAGGGCACTTACTTTTGTTTGACCCAAATTCCTTATCTTTCGATTTAAATGGGAAGTGGATGGTAGCTCTGCCATTTCACCTTCATCCAAGCTTACACTAGCTGCAGCCTTTGAGTCAGCTAAAATTTTATGAACTTTGGGTTTTGTGGCTAAAGAACTATGATGATGTTCAGCAACACGTTTAATAATGCAATAATCTTCATCATGCATGAAGGTGTGGAATCAGGTCTTACAAAACTTCAGTTCACATTTCCAATACGACTTAGTCTCATCAGCTTTTATCTTCTGTGCTTTGTATATGTAATTCATATCATCTACAGGTTTCTTTTTCCCCTGGTGCTTTTAATGATGTGAGGCATGGTAAAATGGGTGTAAAAATTAATTCTGTCCAACCCTCACCTAGCAGCAGTAGTTGAACAACTGATCAGGCTAGGCCTTGCTTATAAGTGAAAACACTTCCATGTCACTGATAGTGCCATCTTCTGGATATTTAAAAAATCTAAATTTAAATGCTGTTTTAAACTAATTAAGTTATATTTTTAACCTTAAATTTAAAACTACTTAGATTTATTTTATTAATTACAGTATGTGAATTATCCTATAACTTGCAGCTACTACAGCCAGATCCAACCATCAGAATGTATTCTCCTATAACCTATTCAATTGTTCAGTTATTT